CCCTCCGCAAACAAGCAGAGCAGGAAAAACGCACACGACCTGCGGCTGCCGGACGCTGTCGGGTCCACCGCGCCGGGGCAACCGTGGCACAGAACACACCACAGGTCAGAGCTGGTTTTCCCAATCCTGGTGCACAGGCGGCAGGTCTGGGGGGTGCGGGGGAACAAGGCCGAAAAGGAGACATCAGCCGGGGAAGCCGCTTGCCTGAGGCCACGTGCTGGCATCTGCACCAGGACCCGCGCTCGCCCTGCGCGGCACACGGAGCATCCGACATCACCACACACCGGTGGGTGCTCCTGGGTGGGGATGTGGAGGGAGCAGAGCCAGGACAGCATCACAGCCTCACCCAGGGACCAACCTGTCCTGCCGCTGCCCCCAGCCCCAAAATCCACCTAAGCCACCCCTCAGCCGTGGGAACTCCCAGGCAGTGGGTCCTCAAAGGCCAGACTGGGAAGGACGGGCAGCCCCTCCCCAGCTGGGATTCAGTGAAACCTTTAAACCCCCACGGCACAGCCAGCTGTGGCTCCAACAAGGGGTGATGGCTTGAAAGTGGCAGAGAGGAGATGGAGATGAGATGTGAGGAAGAAATTCTTTGGTGTGAGGGTGGTGAGACAGTGTCCCAGGTTGGGCAGAGAAGCTGTGGCTGCTCCTCCCTGGAAGTGTTCTCGGCCAGGCTGGATGAGGCTTTGAGCAACCTGGTCTAGTGGAAGGTGTCCCTGTCTTCCACACCAGGAATGGGTGAAGAGACAGAACCTCACAGCAGCATGTCCCCTGTCCTCCATCACACCTGCACCCAGAGAGGTGGCTGAGCCCAGGCTGCTCCTGCCCACACTTGGGGAGAGATGTTGACATGCCCAAGCCCCCCAGAGCCCCTGGAGAGCCAGACATACTCAAACCACAGGGCACAGGTGGTCTAACCAGCAAGCAGGGGAACGATCCACACCAGTACGAGCTGTTTCAGATGAGTCTCCCACCCAAGTACGTGATGAAAACCCCATCCAGGGCAGCTGCATCCCTCTGAAGTTAGTGGAGCACATCCCCACGGGAATGGGGCCATGCTGGATGGGAGCTGTGGAGAGGACCAGGGGCCACCCAGCATTGCCAGTGAGCCCCACTGCAAGCACGTCCTTGCCCTGGCATTGCCAGACCAAGTGCCTGACCTCAACCAAGCGGCAGCAGTTGGCATTCCCATGTTTTACCTTGCCAAGGGCTGGCACGCAGCACTAATGAAGAGAGAGGAGGAAAACAAGGTGCCAGACTCCGCTACAAGTCTATAAATAAGGCGACTTTAAAAGCACTTCTCAGATCCAAAAGAAAACACCCCAAACTGGGTGGCATGGGCACAGACCCAGGGGTGCTGCAGCCCCAACAGATCCCTGGGTTTCACCAGAGCCCAGGAGCAGCTCAGTCGCCACGTTACAGCTCTTCGGCAGAGCTCTGAGTCCCCATGGCCCAAACTCATGATGACAACCCATGACTGTGCCCAGCTGCAGGCAAACACCCTCATTCCAGGGGTCTCAAGCACACACAACCCCACCGAGCCACAGCCGCTCGTGCCACCACCCAGCTCAGCCTGCAGAGATGGCACCAATGGATGGGTGCGAGCTGGACGCTCCCCTCAAACCATCTTGTCTCCAGACTGCAAAACCTCCTCT